CTATGCAAGTAAAAAATGTATGTTTTAATATTTACGTGTTTATTTGTTTATTTAGGGCCCATTTATAACACATGCTACAGGCCCCACACCTGCATAATCCGGCACTGGTTATTTCGTGTTCTCTTCCGCCTGGTTACGATTTGTGGAACGTGTCGTTCTCTCTCTCTCGAAGGAGGAGGTCATTTCTCCGTCCTCACACTTGCACCGGCAATTGTCGAGAGTAATTTTTTTAAGTCAATCTTTGCCTCGTCAACCTGTTAAATCTCATTGGAAGCTTCGTTTGTGGATTTATTTTTGTTATTGATACCTGGCACATCCTCAGGGTCCAGGATCGAACCCACGATTCCTTGCGTACCAGGCGAGGGAGATGACATTTCTCGCCTCCTCGATGGTCGGATATGCAACGTTGTTCCGCATAGCTGCGCAGAGGTTTATTCAAAACTCGGTGCGTTGCACCGGCAAAAATAAAAACAATGGTGAATGACCCGTGCCTTTGCGGCAGTAATTTATCGAGATGCGACGGCCAGTGCATGGTGGCCTCTGATGAGTGAGCCGTATATTTTTTGGTATTATTATTATTATTCAGAGGCTCACAACCCTCCGTGGGAAATGGAGATGACGATGGTGGTGGCTGCGGATTTGGCAGGCGCGATATAATGACGCAATAAATTTAACAACTACGAGAATGTATAATGTTGTGTATGTATAATCACATGCACGCAGTGTATGTCCTCTCCAGGCGTGTGCGTGTAGATAACAAAAATGATGATCATTTTCAGCCCTTCGTAAGTACACTGCGGGATATGACGGCCTTCCCATGCACCATGTCGGTTCTTATTTTGCACAACGATCGGTGTAAGGTTGATCACGGGTGCGTCCGGGACTCGTTTGGATAGGGATGGCCAAAAAGTAACGATACACCAGGAACATCGATATTTTGACCGAGCTATAACGGCCTTGCAATGTTTTGACCTCCGATTGGCACGGTTGGCTCCGTACGGTGCGAAATAACTTCAACGTACGTGCATCAATGTTGATCCCTCAGATAACATTGGAGCATCGCTTTTTTTTTTCTTTGGATGTTATACGCGGCAAAAAAAAGCCAAATTACATGAAATATTTCAGCTTTCTATTTTGGTGTGGAACATACAAATGAACTGCCTTCTGCAAGGTCCCTCTCCAACCGTCGGTGGGAGGCGTAAGGTAAGTTTAAAGTAAACATTCTGCAGGTAAAACCTAAGCTTGCTCTTGGTTGAGTGTTGACCCAGCTGTAAAAGCCTTGCGCCTTTGTATATTTTTCGATAATATAGATCATTCCATTTGTCGAAATATCCGACTTAAGATTGCGGTTGAGTGTTGATCCTCTGACAGAAGCCTTGGGCCATTGTGTATTTTAGAAAACAGGATGTCATTATTTTTCAAAAGATAAATCCTCCAAAGTAACCCAAGTTTGTTTTAGGTATTGACCCTGGAACAACAGCCTTCTTTGTGCCTTCTTGTACCTTCCGATTATTATTTTCCAATGTAATGATTAAATATGTATTATTTTCTTGATATAATGGACATTGCATTTGAATATTTCCATTACTCTTTCCTTTAAATAGTAAAACAAAACCGTTGAAAACATCAATGCAATCTGTTAATGTAAATCGATCTGTTAATGTTCTATTAATGTTAATTAATGTTCTATTAATGTTCTATTAATGTTCTATTAATGTTTTATTAATGTAAACTGATGTTTTATTTAAAGATATTGAGTGGTCGATGTTTTATTTCTGTCCCATCCCTACCCAGGATTTGTCCAGATGTCACGCGCCACTGATGTTAACCATGCCTGGCCATCCAGACTCGTGAAAACGCACGTGAATAGTAGCTAGCAAGAGATACAGTAGTTTCAAAAGATCGTTGTCTGATTGTTCACTGGAGTCTTCGTTTCTCCACGAGTATTTTCCGAACCACTGGTAGACTGGAATTGGTGGCACGCGACTAGTAGCAGCAACCATCTCGCGAGAAGTATTCATGATGCGGTATTCCGAATTCGTAAATAATTTCTGGGGTCACCAACCCGGATTAAATCTGCCTGAAACTAAGCCCCTGCTTATTTCTGCTTTGTCTTCCCAAACCCACCCAACTGCTTTGCAGAGAAACCCCAACGCAACTGTTATTAGCCGGGGGAAATACAAGCTGTGGGTGGCTGACCTTTGAGCAATCGACAGGGGGTCCAGAGCATAGCCTACAGGCCACAGCAGGGATCAGTGCCAGATTTCAGGGTTGCTGCAGGGTTTGAGACATGATTTAGAGATACAATGCAATAACCGCGTGTGGTGGTGCATTCTTGAAATGCAGCGGCTTGGTTTATTTATTTAACCATGGGTATTATGATGTCAAGATGATGTACCGTATTTCAGATGAGTCCTCGCTATTTAGGGGTTGTAAACAGTCAACACTTCCTGCAGAGTTGCCTTACATTTTTTTTCGGTTCAGGGTCAATATTTGATTGAGTAACGGGGCCAGATGTTAACTGATATTAAGGAGGTTGTGGGTTCGATCCCGACATTGACGCTTGCATATTTGGAGTGTGCGTGTCTCTCTCCCCCTTAGTCGCGTGGATTTTTCTCCGGGTCCTCCGGTCTTTCCTTCCACATTTAGAATCTTGCGTTTAGAGTATTTGGCTACTATAACATTTCCACATGATAAGCCACTTCGCTGAACTATCATTTGTTGCCAGGTCGCTTCTGAAAAAATACTTCATAGCTCAGTAGGCCTGTACTGGTAAGATAAAAGTTTAGTTTAGATTCGTTTTTAAAAGTGAATGTGACGGCCTCTCGCGGTTGCAGGGTTAACTTAAGTCCGTGGCATACAACATACTGCAGATGAATTGATGGGTTCATATCACTACCCTGCGCTATGAACCCGGCAACCTGAGTTCGATTCCGGCACACGGCTAACACCAGTGCCGCATCGTGTCTAAACTTTTTCAGGGCCACGATTCACCCCGTCCAGCAATCCGCAGTCACCAGCGTCGTGAAGTATGGTCAAACAACCTCCAACAACACCATTGGAACCTTATTTGCCAGTAAAAAATATGATAATTGTTTTTTGTACGCTTTTATCTGGCAACAAAACGACACCTTTTTTACGAGGAGTCATGTTTGCATAGACCACAATACCTGCAGTCATAATGCAAACAAAAAACATAACTCTGATAATGCACTGTCCTTATCAGATATATGTTTTTGTTTGCATTATGACTGCAGGTATTGTGGTCTATGCAAACATGACTCCTCGTAAAAGAAAAAGGTGTCAGTTTTGTTGCCAGATAAAAGGGTAAAAAAAACTATTATCAACCTCCAATAAAATAACGGTGGTGGGGAGGCCCTCATCTAGCAGTGGATTGACATATCCATTGTTACGTGTAAGGACATCCACTCTGTAGTACATGTTGATTATGTCATTTATTGTGAAAATTCCGTCAAAGTTCCTGTGATCACTGTTTCATTGCTTTCATGGCTTTATTTGAGTAATTTCGAAAAGTTTATTTGTTTGGCCAAGTTGTCTTGTGGTTGTTGTTGTTGTTGTTTGACTTGCATCCCACTGGGATTTTTGCACACAGCATTGGTGTACGGTGCTTTTCTGCAATATTTTGCTGTCTTTTCTTGGATTTTCTGTTTGCACTTAGTCACATATTCACTTTAAGATGTTTTCTTGATCATGTTTTTTGTTTGTTGCGGTTGCACCCGATTCAAGAGCCGAATGGCTCACAGGGCTATACCTAATACATGAACTTGAATTGATTTGATCAGCCACCGAGCCAACACGTGCCGTGTCAACACGTGGCAAAGGTTGCCGCGGTCCCTTTAAACCGAACGCGGAAGTGGCGCGCGTCTTGGCGCCACTTTCAAAGCCGAGCGCGGGAACTTGACGCCCGGCTCTGTTACAAAGTTTAACGAAACGCAACTGAAGACAGACATCATCGTAATGTTCGCCAATTGTTGACGTCCTCACGAAAAATGCCGTTCGCAAAGGGCATCGTAGCTAGCTTTGGCTTCGTCCGTCAACTTTCAACCGGAGGCCTAGCACGACTCCGCGGAGTTTGTTGAAGCCTCGACGTTGCTTGGATCGCCTACCCCGGGAAAGGATTGCTCGGGCTCCCGGGTAAGTGAAATGCCGCTTTGACAACGAATAGAATAAATCGTGATTCACCCTCATTCTCCCCGTGGTGTGTTGCGTTCTCAGGCTTCGAGGGATCACAACTGTACCCAGGGATAGTCTCGTCACGCTCTTGTTCGATCTATTGCGACTTGTGACAATTCGGAGTCGTACAGCGTTCGATAAGGCGACCTCCGTGGAGATGGAGCGATGAAATCGGCGCGCGTTCAGCTCCTCGGTGGATTGTTACATCGCAGAACTGCGATGCTATGCGACGGCTTGGAGAGCGTTGCATCTAGCAGCGGATATGTCTTGGCCGGCGATGATAGCGTATCGATACCTTACGTAATCTCAAGGTGATGTAGAGCAACGGCGTGCCTTGTACATCATGCACACGGTGTGATATACTGCGCAGTTTAACACGGAGGCTTTCGCGACCAATATCCATATTAAAAACTATTTGGGCGAGATCGGGTAAATATAATAATAATAAATTTCGTTGTACTGGTGACAATGACAATAAACGATCTATCTTCTATCTAACCTATATAATTCATTTTTTGTCTGTCTGTCTGTCTGTTTGTCCGTCTGCGTACGCTCCCTTCCGGGGGATTTAGCTCTCGGACCGTGGGGTTCGCCGAGATTAAATTTTGCAGGTGGGCACGCCCCCGGCCCGCGGTAAACTTAGGCATTTCCGATTTTTCGTCTCTAAATTTTAAATCGGACCGATTATCGATTTAGTGCGATTGCTCTTTATTTAGTTATATAATTATTTATTTAATATTGCCGGCCGGCGCGGACCACGGCGGTTGCCCCTGGCAACGGGTAGCAACAACTTCGCTGCGGGGTGGACGCCATTTTGAATTCCCGTTACAAATATGCGCACGCATTAACACGCGATTCTGAGGTAAATTCATCAAAGTTTCACGTCCTCTTCACTCCCCTTCCAACCCAATGTGTGCAATTACTATTATAGGGTCGGTAGATAATAAAATTATAGCGATTAGACAGTATTATTGTACATACACTCCACTCTCACACTCTCAGACTCACCCACATACACTCACTCTCACACACACACATACACTCACACTCACACACAAACTCACTCTCACACTCAGACTCACACACACAGACTCACTCTAACACTCAGACTCACACACACAGACTCACTCTAACACTCAGACTCACACATACACTCGCTCTCAGACTTTCAGACTCGCACACACTCGCGGCGTTGCTCCGTGTTCGGTGGGGGGGGGATGTCACGAGTGGGCGTGTTTACCTTCCCCCCACCCTCCCCGAGATCTTCAAACAATCGCGGAGATTCTTATTCCTGTCGAAAAGCTACGAGGTTAGTCACGCAACTTCACAGCTCAGTTAAAACATTTAAATATTTATGTTTACTATTTTGTATCACTCTTATATAGGGATTAAGTTATGTTTGATGATAGTAAATATACACTATGCACCACGATTTTTCCCTGGGTAAAAAGTGTTATTTTTATATTGCTTAAGCCTCCTAAGTATATAAGATGGCTATTATTCCCCATACATGTTGCTTTTGTGACCAGAACTTTATATAAAGGAAAGAATTACACAAATGCACACGTTTTCTCCTAGCAAAATAGGTCCATTTGTAAATATCACTGTCCGTGTCAAAAAAAATTAAGTTTGAGGGGAATTTTATCCCATTTGTAACTTTTGAGATGTCAGCGTATAGAAAATAACACTTACTACCCAGAGACTAACACATGTGTAGTTTTTGGTAAAAAAAAAAAATATTTTTACGATTAAAAATTTGGTCACTGTCTGTATCTCAAAAACTAAGTTTGAGGGGAATTTTCTCCAATTTGTAACTTTTGAGATGTCAGCGTATAGAAAATAACACTACCCAGGGACTAAAACATGTGTAGTTTTTGGTAGTGAGGGTGAGTGGTTGTTGTGAGGGTGAGTGGTGAGGGTGAGCAGTGAGGGTGAGCAGTGAGGGTGAGTGGTGATTGGTGAGGGTGTGATTGGTGAGGATGAGTGGTGAGTGGTCAGGGTGAGTGGTGAGGGTGAGTGGTGAGCGGTGAGGGTGAGTGTTGAGGGTGAGTGGTGAGTAGTGATGGTGAGTGGTGAGCATGACTGGTGAGTGGTGAGGGAGAGTGGTGAGGGAGAGTGGTGAGGGTGAATGGTGAGGGTGAGTGGTGAGTGGTGAGGGTGAGTGGCAAGTGGTGAGGGTGAGTGGTGATTGGTGAGGGTGTGATTGGTGAGGATGAGTGGTGAGGGTGAGTAGTGAGGGTGAGTGGTGAGCAGTGAGGGTGAGTGGTGATTGTTGAGGGTGTGATTGGTGAGGATGAGTGGTGAGTAGTGAGGGTGAGTGGGGAGGGTGAGTGGCGGTTGTGAGTGGTGATTAGTGAGGGGTGAGGATGAGGTTGAGTGGTGAGGGGAGGTTGAGTGGTGAGGGTGAGTGGTGAGCGGTGAGGGTGAGCAGTGAGGGTGAGTGGTAATTGGTGAGGGTGTGATTGGTGAGGATGAGTGGTGAGGGTGAGTAGTGAGGGTGAGTGGTGAGCGGTGAGGGTGAGTGTTGAGGGTGAGTGGTGAGTAGTGATGGTGAGTGGTGAGCATGACTGGTGAGTGGTGAGGGAGAGTGGTGAGGGTGAATGGTGAGGGTGAGTGGTGAGGGTGAGTGGCAAGTGGTGAGGGTGAGTGGTGATTGGTGAGGGTGTGATTGGTGAGGATGAGCGGTGAGTAGTGAGGGTGAGTGGGGAGGGTGAGTGGCGGTTGTGAGTGGTGATTAGTGAGGGGTGAGGGTGAGGTTGAGTGGTGAGGGTGAGTGGTGAGCGGTGAGGGTGAGCAGTGAGGGTGAGTGGTAATTGGTGAGGGTGTGATTGGTGAGGATGAGTGGTGAGTGGTGAGGTGAGTAGTGAGGGTGAGTGGTGAGGGTGAGTGGTTGTTGTGAGGGTGAGTGGTGAGAGTGAGTGGTGAGGGTGAGTGGTGAGCGTGAGTGGTGAGGGTGAGTGGTGATTGTTGAGGGTGAGTGGTGAGGATGAGTGGTGAGTAGTGAGGGTGAGTGGTGAGGGTGAGTGGTGAGGGTGAGTGGTGAGGGTGAGTAGTGAGGATGAGTGGTGAGTGGTGAGGGTGAGTGGTGAGGGTGAGTGTTGAGTGGTGAGGGTGAGTGGCGGTTATGAGTGGTGATTAGTGAGGGGTGAGTGGTGAGGGTGAGCGTGAGTGGTGAGTGGTGAGGGTGAGCAGTGCGGGTGAGTGGTGATTGGTGAGGGTGTGATTGGTGAGGATGAGTGGTGAGTGGTCAGGGTGAGTGGTGAGCGGTGAGGGTGAGTGGTTGTTGTGAGGGTGAGTGGTGAGGGTGAATGGTGAGGGTGAGTGGCGGTTGTGAGTGGTGATGGGTGAGTGGTGAGGGGTGAGTGGTGAGGGTGAGTGCTGAGTGGTGAGGGTGAGTGGTGAGAGAGTGGTTAGTTTTGAGGGTGAGTGGTGAGGTTGAGTGGTGAGGGTTAGTGGAGAGTGGTGAGTGGTGATTGGTCAGTGGTGATTGGTGAGGATGAATGGTGAGTAGTGAGGGTGAGGTTGTGTGGTGAGGGTGAGTGGTGGTTGTGACGGTGAGTGGTGAGGGTGAGTGGTGAGGCTGAATGGTGAGGGTGAATGGTGAGAGTGAGTGGTGAGTGGTGAGGGAGAGTGGTGAGGGAGAGTGGTGAGGGTTAGTGGTGAGGGTTAGTGGTGAGGGTGAGTGGTGAGGGAGAGTGGTGAGGGTTAGTGGTGAGGGTTAGTGGTGAGGGTGAATGATGAGTACAGTCAATATGCACTGCTGTTATCATACCAGGTACCACCACCACAATATGTACTCCTCTCATCATAGCAGATACCACCACAGCAGTATGCACTGCTGTAATCATAGCAGGTACCAACACAGCAGTATGCACTGCTGTAATCATAGCAGGTACCAACACAGCAGTATGCACTGCTGTAGTGATAGCAGGTACGACCTCAGTCGGTATACACTGCTGTAGTGATAGTAGATACTGCTATCGAGTTGGTAGATACCGCTATAGTAAATACTAAAACAGTCAGTATATACCACTACAGTCAGTCAATACTGCTACAGTCAGTATATACTACTATACAGTCAGTACATACTGCTACGGTGAGTAGCTACTAGAGTCAGTAGATACTATTATAGAGTGAGTAGATACTGCTATAGATTTTGTAGTTACTACTATAGTCAGTGGATACACTATAGAGTCAGCAGATACTATACAGTTAGTCGTTACGAGTATATAGTCGGTAGATACTACTGTAGGCCCAGTAAATACTACTATGGTCAGTAGTTATTACAGTCACTAAATACTACTACACAGTCAGTAGCTACACATGGCTCAGTAGATACTACGGTACAGTCAGTAGATACTACTACAGAGTCAATAGATACCACTTCCTCTGTTGTATGTGTAATGGGTTCCGGAGACACTTGTAGATGTAACTTCTTTATTACAATACAACACTCCAACAGTCCTGATACTCTGTTACAGCCTAGGTACACAGCCTAGCTACACAGCCTAGATACTCTACTCTGGCTACGCTCTGGACTCGCCCTCACAAGGTCGTAGCGTCGGGAGTTCCAGAGTCCCAGCGCTGGCTCTCACAGCATCCCAGGGTCTTCAGATGGCTGGTCGTGGGTCTTGGGTCTTGAGTTACAACTGGGGCCGATCGTCCAGGGAGCTCTCCTTTTATGCCTGGTCCAACGAGGGGTGGGTCTTGTGCGCCACCAGACATCCCACAGAGCACACACAGCCCCCCCCCCGTTGGCGGCGCCAAAAAGGCTTAAGCGCCTGGGAACCCAACGCCTGGCGCCCAAAGGCTTAAAAGCGTCTGGATCCCCTGGGAACCCAGTGCCTGGCGCCCAGAGGCTTACGCGTCTGGACCCACCTGGGAACCCAGAGCCTACAGCAGCCCCTCCCTTCTTATGTCACTACATATGTAAGGTGTTGTTAGTATATATACCTACGAGGGGTAAAGATATTTTTTGAGGGGGGGGGGGGGGGGGGGGAGACCGCAATTTTCGGAAACATTTTGACATCAACTATTTACCCCACACTTTCTACAACTTTTTGGACTTGTGAAAGCCTCTTATATATTTGTTGGTGGAGAAATGTACAAACAGCCCACCGGGCTTTGACAATACCTTAGTATCTGTGTATATATATGTAAGGTTTTTAAGAAATATATTTTTCACCCGGGCAAAGCCGGGTACTTCCGCTAGTGTATAATAAAATAATTATTTTATAATAAAATAATTATTTTATTATGTATAATGATTATTTTATTATGTATAATAATTATTTTATTATGTATAATATAATAATTATTTTATTATGTTTTAATTTTATTATTGGCTCAGATGGTAGCGCGCTCGAGAAAAGAGAAGTGAACACATCTCAAATGCACGTCCAGTACAAGGATAGACGGTGTGAAATGTCTTACTGACAACACAGAGCTCGCTAACACACACAACTGGCACGCTAGTAACTACACTTGAGCCCTCTCGATGCCAATAAGAGTTTAGTGTACCTGGTAGCGTGAGCACGCTAACAGATGCACTGATCTCTTTGATGTTTAGGTCGCCGGATCGATTCCCGCATCCTCCACGAGGAATATTTTTTTTAATCAATTTTTTAATGTAACGTCCATCGTTCACATTGGTGAACCAGCTTGACCTCTTGTCGTCCTCGATGTTGCTGTTTTGAAGCCCCTGTTAAGACGTTAGAGATGTGACAACAACAACAACAACAATAAGACAACTTAGATTAAGTCCATCAGTCTAACTCTGTACTACAACAAACAAACTAACATGGCTAAACCAATACACTTTTCGAAATCACCAAAATAAAGCCATGAAAGCAAAATTTCGATCAACAATGTTTCTTTTAATAAACAGCAAATCCCAATCAAGCGGTCAGTGCCTTGCCCAATGGACTCACCAAATGTGCAACGTTTTCTATTTGAATAAATGTAAAACAAGTATAACCCGTAAAAACAAAGTTTTTCACTCTAAATCCTTCATATGCGTGGCGGCTAGAGTCCTCTCGTCCTCTGGCTTGAGATGGCTGCCACCTATGGGTCAGATGATTGCCTGCCACCATTAAGCAATTGGTAATAAAATATTTAATTTGTTTTCCCTAAACAGTGTAACATTTTGGACATTTTTTTTCACGAACATTAATTGTCTCGCACAACGAGTCTGTGTGCAAAATGTCAGCTCGATTGGATCACGGGAAGTGGGTTAAAAAACGACCGAAAGATTTGCACGGTCGTAAGCAAGCAAGCAAGCGAACTTAATAAAAAGGATTTAAAATATATTCGCCTGTGGAGGACGCGGGGATCGAACCCGCGACCTCTCGCATGGTAAGCGAGACTGCGCCACTCGCCCAGCGCGTGAAGGTGTCACGCGCTGGGCTCCTACACGGTGACGTTCAGCCACATCCATGATGAGTTCCAGATGTGAAGCTTTCGTGACTGCAATGATTCATACTCTTAGTTTTTTTCGGTCAAGTCGCTTATTAAATTGTAGATTTGAAGCTTTCGTGACTGCAATGATTCATACTCTTAGGCTTTTTCGGTAAAGTCGCTTATTAAATTGTAGATTTGAAGCTTTCGTGACTGCAATGATTCATACTCTTAGGCTTTTTTCGATCAAGTCGCTTATTAAATTGTAGATTTGAAGCTTTCGTGACTGCAATGATTCATACTCTTAAGCTTTTTCGGAAAAAGTCGCTTATTAAATTGTAGATTTGAAGCTTTCGTGACTGCAATGATTCATACTCTTAGGCTTTTTCGGTCAAGTCATTTATTAAAGCAAAAAACCCACGACGTTTCGATCTCAATACATTAACATAATGGATTAATGACGTCAGTTAGAGTCGCCACTCGTTGTGGGAGGGGCTGTTGCTTGTACCCCGGGAGTGACGTCATGTCACCTGCTGCCGCGTGACGTCACAAGCTGCAGCTTCGCGCGTGCAGTGAAATCCGAGGTGAGAAATTCTCATCGTTGTGGTTGTTGTTGTTGTGGTGGTTGTTGTTGTGGTTGTTGTTGTTTACCAAGCTAGAGCCTCGCTCTCTCTCTCGTAGGGATGCCAATAGAGCAGCAGCAGCTTGTGAATCGATGTCCAAGTTGGAACTTTACAACGCGGGGCCTAGACACGCGGGGCCTTGCCTCCTGCCCTCGCCTGGTCGCGTTTGCTTTAATTCCCTCCCTTAAGTTTAATTTGTCTTCACCCGGCTCGCTACTTTGTCACTTTGGTTTATTGTAGATATTAACGCAGTTTTTTTTTTCGTTTTTTTCCAGCCCAAGCCCGCCTGAGCTGCTGTACCGCTCTTGTTTATAGAAGCTACCTGCCCACGACACAAGGTGGGTTTTGTCAACGCGTGTGTCAATGTTTTAACTTAAAACTTTCGTAACTGCAGCAATTCATATTCTTGGTTCTTTTGGTGAAGTCACGGAGATAGAAAATTTAGTAAAAATAACATAATAAAATTACTAAAAGTAAACAAAATTGTAAATAAATAAAACCCCACGACGTTTCGATCGCAACACAAGTGGCCTTTATTTGATTTTATTATCTGTTGTTATTGTCTATCTACGTGACTTTACCGAAAGAACCAAGAATACGTGTGGAAATGTGTATCGGTCAAAGACGCTGCACGCGTGCTGATGTTGACTCTAAATGTGGAGGGGAAACCCGGGAGATTCGGAGGAAAATCCACGCGACCACGGAGAGAGAGACACGCAAACTCCAAATATACAGCAGCAGCAGCAGGCGTCAGGGTCGAGATCGAACCCACGACTTCCTGTATACCAGGCGAGGTAGTTAACATCTCACCACAGAGAGAGAGAGACACGCAAACTCCAAATATACAGCAGCAGGCGTCAGGGTCGGGATCGAACCCACGACTTCCTGTATACCAGGTGAGGTAGTTAACATCTCACCACGGAGAGAGAGAGACACGCAAACTCCAAATATACAGCAGCAGCAGGCGTCAGGGTCGGGATCGAACCCACGACTTCCTGTATACCAGTTGAGGTAGTTAACATCTCACCACGGAGAGAGAGAGAGAGACACGCAAACTCCAAATATACAGCAGCAGCAGGCATCAGGGTCGGGATCGAACCCACGACTTCCTGAATTTAGCTTTTATACATATTCCTTTTGTAGCCAGACAGCCGAAATTGTGTGCTCGGAGTTTTTGGTTAACATTCATTTTTAATGACCACTTGCCCTCTCATTGTGTGCCATCACAGCCCGTGTGATGAATTTGAGAAACGTTTTTACTACATCATGAATATACGAATAAGTATAGACGTGTAAGTCACGTGTGACTGTATATATGCATTCTTCTGTGCCTCGATACTGGTGTGGATATTCCTATTATCTGTCTGCAGCTGACGCTTCCTTCGACGCTTCCTCTGCAGAATTGGTCTGATGGAGCAAAGGCAGTCAGCACAGCTCGGTACGGCAAGGCAACAATGCGACCAGAGTGCATACAGCACGGATCGCACTGGAAATTTGACACAGCACCAGAGAACACTCACAGGAGACAAACCCTTCAAGTGCAGTGTGTGTGGGAAGGCCTTTGCAAAGTCACGTAATCTTGTAGTACACCAGAGAACACACACGGGAGAGAAACGCTTCAAGTGCAGTGTGTGTGGGAAAGCGTTTGTACAGTCATCTACTCTTGTAAGACACCAGAGAATACACACGGGAGAGAAACCCTTCAAGTGCAGTGTGTGTGGGAAGGCATTTTCACAGTCACATAATCTTGTAATACACCAGAGAACACACACGGGAGTGAAACCTTTCAGGTGCACGATTTGCGGGAAGGCGTTTGCACAAGCATCCGTTGTTCAGGCCCACCAGAGAATACACACAGGAGAGAAACCCTTCAAGTGCAGTGTGTGTGGGAAGGCATTTTCACGGTCATCTTCTTTTAAAAAACATCAGAGAACACACACGGGAGAGAAACCCTTCAAGTGCACTGTGTGTGGGAAGGCATTTTCACGGTCATCTTCTCTTAAAAAACATCAGAGAACACACACAGGAGAGAAACCCTTCAGGTGCATTCTGTGCGGGAAGGCGTTTACACAGTCAGAACATCTTCAAAGACACGAGAGAACGCACACGGGAGAGAAACACTTCAAGTGCAGTGTGTGTGGGAAAGCGTTTGTACAGTCATCTACTCTTGTAAGACACCAGAGAATACACACGGGAGAGAAACCCTTCAAGTGCAGTGTGTGTGGAAAGGCATTTTCTGATTCATCTGTTCTTAAAAAACACCAGAGAACACACACAGGAGAGAAAACCTTCAAGTGCACTGTGTGTAGCATGGCATTTTCACGGTCATCTGCTCTTAAATATCACCAGAGAACACACACAGGAGAGAAACCCTTCAGGTGCATTCTGTGCGGGAAGGCGTTTGCAAAGTCACACCATCTTCAAAGACACCAGAGAACACACACAGGAGAGAAACCCTTCAAGTGCAGTGTGTGTGGGAAGGCATTTTCACTGTCAACTGCTCTTAAAAAACACCAGAGAACACACACAGGAGAGAAACTCTTAAAGTGCACTGTGTGTAGCATTGCATTTTCACAGTCATCTGCTCTTAAATATCACCAGAGAACACACACAGGAGAGAAACCCTTCAGGTGCATTCTGTGCGGGAAGGCGTTTACACGGTCAGAACATCTTCAAAGACACGAGAGAATGCACACGGGAGAGAAACACTTCAAGTGCACTGTGTGTGGGAAGACATTTTCACGGTCATATTCTCTTAAAAAACATCAGAGAACACACACAGGAGAGAAACCCTTCAAGTGCACTGTGTGTGGGAAGACATTTTCACAGTCATCTCTTAAAAAACATCAGAGAACACACACAGGAGAGAAACCCTTCAGGTGCATTCTGTGCGGGAAGGCGTTTACACGGTCAGAACATCTTCAAAGACACGAGAGAACACACACGGGAGAGAAACCCTTCAGGTCCACTTGGCGGGAAGGCGTTTGCACATTCATCAAATCTTTAAAGACACCAGAGAACGCACAAGCATCAGAAGATCTGCAAGGAGTGGAGTCTGAAATCAGCTTGTGAAAGTCAAAGTGCCGCAATGAGCCCATCACTCATGAAACTAGAACCGGAGGAAAATCCCAGCTTGGACACTTAAAAGTATCGAGGTGAAATGTGAAGAAGTGATGGTGAAGAGCGAAGAAGTGAAGGTAAAATGTGAAGATGAAGATTAAACTGCAAAATGTGACCTTCACATTGATGGAGGCAACGTGAAGCAGGAGGAGAATTCTGACTGTGAGGCAGAGCGAGGCAACTCACAGCAGTTTGTGGAAGTGGAGGTGGACTTCCTAGACAATACAAAGTCAAATGGCGACCCGGTAGATGTGTCAGCTTGAGACGTCGCTCCAATAGATGCTCCTTTGTCACAGGCCTTTAATGAAGAACACGTTCCTTCGGAGTGGGCAGGTATGAACTTGGTTGGACAGCGCATTCGTGCACGACAGACAGACACATAATCCCTGGTGGGCAAGTGTGGAACCTGTTGTTCCTACCTGTGTGTATAAAACTTGACTTTAGGTAGCCAGGCAGACAGCCCCCTTAACTATCGCCCCCCCTCCCTTAGGCCCCTCCCCTGACCCTCCTCCCTTAGGCACCTCCCCTGACCCTCCTCCCTTAGACACCTCCCCTCTCCGTACCCGGCAGTAGGTCTCCACCAATCAAAGAGCTGTTTATGTTATATATTTATTTATGCACGACAGACAGACAATAAATCCCTGGTGGGCAGTGTGGAACATTGTTCCTGCCTGTATAATGTGAAGTTGAACACTCAGTTCCTGGGTTCAACCTGCAGAGTAAGAGCGAGCGACCAGTCTTTGTGTTTCCCGTGGGTTGGGTAGATCCCTGTGTTACGATCTAAACTTCCTGATCTACTATTATTTTGCTACTGACATGACTTTACTGAAAGAACCAAAGAGTGTGTGAACAAGAGCCTGTCAGTAGGGGGGCGACGATGTTTCATGTCAATTGTGTAATTTGTCGGTAATGTTGAGAATTTGCTACATTTTGACTCAAGACGCAAGCATGCAATGGCCTACTCGTTTTGAATGACACAATAGTATGTTTTACATCCACTGTTAAGCAGACGGTGCATAATTATTTAAAATAGCTTAATACGATGTAACCTGGTGCAGTATATTTCACTGCAGTAATTACATTTTGTTAAAATGTAAAATGTCTTGTCAATAATTTAGAATGAACACTGATTTTGTGTACATGCATCATTTTATTTATAAGGGTCAAACATTGAATAAGTGATGTTAGGACAAAGTGTGTGTTTTTGGAAGTAACCTGTACAGATCACTCAGGTGAGACCCGTTGTTCTTGTGATACAGGTCAAAGGGTATTTTTGTGTTTCGGGAAGCATTTGTCTCTGGAGCAACTCATCGTCTTTGAAATAGGGAGCACGCTCGGATCATTCATCAGTTACAAGGCATACCGCTTAAAAATCACGTAGAGGAGATATTCTCTACAACACGAATTATAATTTTATATTACGTGTTGACATTGATTTTTTCAAACTATGACGAGAAATGCTCCTTGTTGATTAATGGCTGGATGTTCGTAACCACCAATAAGGGTCCACTGGTGGCTTGTACTGAATCAACGATGCACTCCCAGAAGGCTGTGCTGTTTATGGTTTGTGTAAAACATTCCTTTGTTTCGTGGAGAGACCGATAAATGAATGACGTCTTGTCGATCTTTTTCATATTTGTGTACATCGATGTCCCACATTGCTTACCACATGTTAACGTGTTGTGTAGTGAATGACGACACGGTTAACAATGAAGGTGGTAAGTAACACCAGGGGTAGGTGTCCTACACCGGGTCCTTCACGTGGACCCTTGGCTCTATCTGCTGCTAGCCTGGGCTGTCTCTAAGGGCTCTCACACTCGAGTCAGGACAGGGGTTCAGCCAACACCTTCCGACCAAGGAGAGCAGCACCTCCCGTAACTACAGCCGGCTTCTACACACTTCTTGAGCACTACCCCTGTGGCTGTCTCTTCGCCTCTCTTCAACCGCTCACCATCCCGGGCTCCCACAACGACCCCGCTTTCGTCACGGGGCCCCCCTTAAGTACCCCCAGGTGACATGACATCGCACCTCAGCGCGTATGACGTCCTGCCTCCATACTACACTACACGAGCTCGAGGGCTGAATTTTGCAGTCGCCCCAAACACATCCCAGTGGATATAATTGCCCAGGTTGACGTAGCCCTCAAATGTTTGGGTCACATCCCAGCAGATGTGGCAAGATCTGAAATCGTCGCCATCAAAGATGCTAAGAAACCCATTAGTAACATCAGCAGGGACAGGCGCTCTGAACTCATTCAATTGAAAAAGAGAGATGACATTGTCATCCTTTCAGCCGACAAGGGTAATGCCACGGTCATGGATAAAACCACATGCAACAAAATTCAGGACCTTAATGATGGCAGTTATACCAAAATCAACAAAGATCCTACCAACTGCCTGGCTAAAAAACCCAACAATATCCCTATCTCGACTTCTCTAATCGGACCGACCAAGCAGCTCTATCTAAAACCTTTGGCTGCTAGACCACCCAAAAATCCATAAAGAAGGTACTCCACTCTGTCCTATAGTTTCCACCAACTCACCTACCTACAAAGTGGCCCGATTTCCATCTTGAGAGCGTGCTTCCATTCACGGGCAAGACCACCTCAGCAGCACTGAGCTCACTTGGTTTCTCTAATCAAGGACATTTCACTGTCTCCAGATGATTTGCTTGTCACCTTCGATGTAGTCTCTCTGTTCACCAAGATACCTGTACCTGACACCATTGCAATCATTGAAGACTTGGTCCAACAGGGACTGAATCCTAATGTACCAACTTTGGTGAGGCACTGCCTTACCAACACTTCACCTGGAATGGTACATTCTACAAATTAAATGAAGGTACCCCTATGGGTTCTCCCTTATCACCAGTGGTAGCGAATGTTTTCATGGAGAAATTTGAAACAAATGCTATCCTGACATCCACGCTACATCCTTCCCTGTGGAAGAGATGCGTAGATGACACTTTTGTCATCTGGCCATATGGCCAGCCAGCACTGAACCAATTTTTCAACCACATCAATTCCATACAGCCATCAATCAAATTCACCATATAAGTGGAAAATGATGGCAAGCTACCATTCCTGGATGTTTTGATCGAGAAGAGGCCTGATGGCTCGCTGGGACTTTCCGTCTGCTGTAAAGCCACCCACACGGATTCCTATCTAAAGCCTGATTCCCACCACTATCCGGCCCAGAAGAACTCCCTCATCAAAACTCTACACCATAGGGCCCGCTGCATCTCCCACCAGCGCCACCTAGCCAGTGGACTGGAGCACGTACACCAAGCCCTCAAGTTGAATGGATACTCAGACCGCACAATCCGCAAAGCTGTATCCTCAACCATGGGGAGACAACCATCTGAGGACCCAATCAAAACCATCACCTTGCCATACATAGCAGGTGTTACC